TCAGTGTGAAGTGGCTTAGCTGGATGGAAGCATGCACTTTCAATAGCATGATGGCGGTGTTGATGAATGGTAGTGCAACTGATGATTTCAAGGTTCACCGTGGACTTCGCCAAGGAGACCCGCTGTCCCTGTTTTTATTTACAATCGCCATGGAAGGTTTGACAAGGATGATGGAGACTGCGTTTGAGCAAAAAGTGTTTAAAGGATTCAAATTTAACGACGAGATTTTGGTGGATATTCTTCAATTTGCTAACGAAACTATTGTCGCACCTCGAAAAATGGTAACGACCTTTGTGATGGACGCGGAAAAAACAAAACAGAGTTGCCACCGAATTTTATTTATCCCAAAGAGGGAAAGAAGAATATCGATAAAACCTTTAGGGAAAGAACATGGTCATCACAACCAAATTTTGGATTCGGGAGTCGGTTATATGAGGGGAAGGTATTAGCACCCCTTCACGTCCGTTGTACTCAACGGGAACCTCTCAATTTGATTCGTGAGGAATGTTAGCTAAGTTAATTGTTTTCTTCTAAAGAAATAATGCTAAAAGGTAAGGTAAAAGGAGTTTGGTAAAGAGAAGTTGGTCGTTTTTTATTAGGGTGCTCGCCAAGGATTATGGCCCTTGTGTCTATGTATCTTCACTTGAAAGAAGTAGAAAATCAGAGCGTCCGTAGTTCGTGGGACTACGGTGGTAAATGGGAAGTTTGCTCGCTAGGATCTCGCAATCCTATGCCTACGTATTCTCAACAGGTATGACAAATCAGAGTGTCTGTAGTTTGGACTACGGTTTATTAGAGTTTTTTATGGACGATGCTAACGTTCACGTTCTAGCAGTTAGGTGTAGTGTCGCTCGCTTGTGGAGTCTTATGTGTTACCTGTATTACGGTAGAACAGAAATAACATGTCCTTTTAAGAAAGAGTTTTTGAATCGCGCGGAAGCGAGAGGTTGAATTAATGTGTTGATATTTTGTTTAGATGACAATTATTTGAATGTTTAAGAAAGACTCCTCGGGCATAAATAATTGGGAGAGTGAATCGAATACTCGACTCTCTCTCTTTTTCAACCTTAATTGTGAAAAGATTTTGATATAGTTAAAGTATTTTAAAGGGATGACGATTACTAGAAAACTTAAGAAAGGCTCCTCGAGCCCAACTAATTGGGAAAGTGAATCGAAGACTCGACTCTCTCTCTTTTTCATCTAAGTGGTCGAGAAAATAGATTTGATTTGATTTGTTATAAAATGGTTTGATATGAAGTGGGTTATAAGTCTTTTAGAGAAAACAATTGTTCAAGTGTGAAGAAGATTCCAACACTCAAACAATCGAAGAGAGGACTCGAAGACTCCAGTCCAACTCTCTTTTCATCTTTTATTTAAAAGTGTCTCATAGTTATTAAGTGTTTTAGTCTGATTCGAAAAATACTCGATGCGAATCGAGGTTTGAGTTTGCGTGCGAAATGATTAAGGGTTTGAACTAAAATGAAAGGGAGGATCTATCCCAATGTTTCCATGATTGGATTAAGAACCTAAAATCTATCATACTCCAATCTTAATAAAAAATTAAGTTGGACTTAAGGGAACATGCAATTGGAATCAAGAACAAAACAATTTAAGCATCACAATTAATCAGGCAAGGTCAACCACAAAATGAAATTCATGTCATGTCAAATTGTTGAGTACAAGGCGAGACATCAAGAACTAATCACAACTAACATCAAGGATTAATCACAATTATCACCACGAACTAAACACAGTCCATCGAGAATTAACCAAACTGAAATCAAGATCAATTATGAAATATTCTAATAGAATTCAAAATCAATACCAAGCACAAATAAAACCAAACTAAAAGAGGACTATTAACCATATTAAATATAAATATTTAATAGAATTAATTAATGATCTAATTAATCGATATTAAATATGAATATTTAAAAGAATTAATAATTATGAACATGTTTTTTTTTGGTATTTTCTAATATTTAACAAATTAATTAAACTAAAATTTTTTTTAAATAAATAAGAAAAACAATTTTTTAAAAAAAATTTGGTCTTTTTTTTTTTAAATATATGATATAAACAATTAATTAAAATGAAGATCAACTAAAAAAGAGTTTAATTAATTAATAAACTTATTAAGTAACTAAATAATAAAAAATAAAAAGAAGAAGAATAATGAAAATTAAAAAGAAATAGGAGGAGTGCAAATGATTAAGCAGGGTATGATTGAATAAAATATGAAGTATCCTAACCTGCAGTAATAATAATATCTAAATCATTAAAAATAAAAAAAGTAAAATAAAAAAATAATGCAAAGGGGTCCATTTTCCATCTCATTTTCTACTGTTATTAATCTAATTTCCCATTTGACTTTTCAAAATATATGACTAACAATTACCAATGCAGGTGGTGTATGGCAATGTTATTTTGTGTTCCAAGGACACATGTTAAGGTGTAATTAATGATTAATTATCTCATTTATTTTATTTTAGAGTATGTAATAATTAAATACAATAATTAATTTTTTATAAGCATGCTTACTAAAAAATAATATGACAAAAGTACTCTCACATCTAGTATTTCATATAGACTTTTTATCTTCTCAACTATTTCACGCTTAAACATTTCAGTATTTTTTTCTTTTCACAAAAAAAATTTCAAGCTCCTTCAAAACTGAAATCTTTTCAAGTATGGTTGATTTAGGACATAATATTGCAACATGTCCTCTAAAAAAAATATTCAATTTTCGCCTCACACTAAAAATAAGAAGAAGAAAATTTGTCAAAATACAAATTTAAATCCAGTTCTTCTACCAAAATTTTAGGTACGTATTTTTTTTTTTAAATTTTAAATTTTTTTGTATTTATTTCTTATGTTTTTTTATATCTTTTATATTTTTAATTTGTTAGTTAAAACTATATTTTTTATTTTTATTATTATAACAGGACGAAATTGATGATATGTGTACGAAATCCGTCGAGTGATTTTTTTTTATTTGAGTAATTTTTTAATAAAAAAAATTGTATTTGAATGATATATTTTAAATTGTAATTTATTTTGATACATTATTGTACTTTTAAAGCATTTTAATTTTATATTAAAAAACATCCAATATATCTTTTGCATCAATTGTAATTTAGAGGATATCAATTTAAAACTAATTCAAAAAAAAATTGTCTTCTGAACTATTACCGTTTATTCTTACTATTTTCATTTAATTCAGAATATAAAAAATTGTATATCTATTAAAGGTAATTTTGTCTTAATCATTTCTTACAAACATAAACTTTAATGTGTTAATTACTATAATTAATGTTTACATATTTCAAAATAAAATTGATGAAATCAACTATCATTAATTATACCTTAACATGTCCTCTTGGGGCACAAGATAACAACACCCTTCTATTAAAATTAGAATATTTAAAGAGAATTTTTTTTTAAAAACTAATAACTTGTGCCCCAAGAGTACAAGTTAAGAAACTAAATTAAGAAATATTGTTTTGGAAATTGTATACTTTAATTAAAGTATAAAATTAATTTTTAAATTGTTTTTTCCATATAAATTTATTATAAGTGGATCTCTTAACTTGTTTTTCAAGGACACAAGTTAATAATTTGTACCCAAAGGCACAAGTTAAGAATTAAATAAAATAATATTGTCTTAGAAATTGTGTACAAAGTTTAATTAAAATATAAAATTAATATTTAAATTATTTTTTTTAATATAAATTTATTATAAGTAGATCTCTTAACTTGTGCGCCAAAGATAAAATTTAGGGTTCCGTTAAACAAAAGGAAAATACATAGACTCAAACGTTTTCAATTTGTCTATGTTTTTTCTTCAAAACAAAACCAATTCAGAAAAAACAAAAAAGAAAGTGCAAAACTCACAAAATCAACAGCGAGTAAAATTGTTCAGACAAACAAGAATCAATCAGAAAAAGATGACGGTTACCGGCAACGTGGACCTGACTACGGCGGTTGTCGCAAATGCAACAATGAGGTGGTTTTGAGGCGTGTGTTAGAATGCTGAAGGTTTGTTTCGTGTTGGCAGTACCGAAGCTGCAACAAAGAATAAACAGTGTTTCAAAGTTTCCACTTCCTTACGGTAATGGAAATGACACGGTGGAGGTGAATATTGTTGCGGAAGTGATTTGAGAGAGAATGAAGGTGATGAAAGGATGAGAAATATTGGTAGGTGAGTGAGAAAAGTGAGTTTTGACTTGTTCTTTTTTCTGTGTAAAATGAGGAGTGTAACTACATGAGAAAATGATGGAGAAGAGTTCATATTGTTTATGGTGGAGAGTGTGCTAAGAGAGTTGAAGCTTGGAATTTAGATATAAAGAATCGTTATTAAAACACATAAAATTATACTAAATTTCATTGAATTTTTTACTAACCAAAAGATAGTAATTTTATTTTGAATTAGATGAGTTTTTCTCTCAAAACTCACTCAAACAACATTGCAAACACCTTAGATAAGTATAATTTTCTCTCTAATTTTTTATTAAAATATGATATTTACTTGTAGAAAAGTTTTATCTTATGGAAAAACATATTGAATAACCATTTTATTAATAAATAAGATATAAAAAACATATTTTTTCCGTAAGATAAAACATTTTTAAAATAAAATGAAAATATTCTTTAATGTTTTCCGCATCTAGAACGTTCTACGCTCTTTTAACTAAATGAGAAAGAAAAAAGGTTTCTCCTCTATATATTGAATGTGAGAGAGTTTGTTTTTGTGTGACTCCCCTCTCTCTCTAGCTCCGTGATCAACGGCATTAGTTAGTTACATAAGTTTGTTTGTTTCTGTTACTTTTTTTTCTTTGTACTTTCCCGTGCAGTACAGATACACACCACAACGCACCCCAATTAACTTGGAATCACCTAGATTTTCCACCTACCTTCTCACGAGATTTTCATCTCCACTATATAATTCATCTCTTCTTCTACCTTACTTCAATTCAGTGAGTGAGAGAGAAAAAAAAACTATGACTACTCGCAACATTGAAAAGATGGCTTCAATTGACGCTCAGCTGAGATTACTGGCACCGAGAAAAGTCTCTGAGGATGATAAGCTTGTGGAGTATGATGCTTTGTTGTTGGATCGATTCCTTGACATTCTTCAGGATTTGCATGGCGAAGATATCAGACAGACTGTAACTATTTTTTTAATTTCTGTTAAATCTTTGTTCTTATGAACTTGTGGATAAGATTTTTGGTGATTTGAGTCATTTGATGGTTGATTTGATAGGTTCAAGATTGTTATGAGTTATCGGCGGAGTATGAAGGGGAGCATAAGCCGGAGAAGCTGGAGGAGCTTGGGAATATGTTGACCGGTCTTGATGCTGGAGATTCTATTGTTATAGCGAAATCGTTTTCGCACATGCTTAATTTGGCGAATTTGGCGGAGGAAGTTCAGATTGCGTATAGGAGGAGGATTAAGTTATTGAAGAAAGGTGATTTTGGCGATGAGAATTCTGCTATAACTGAGTCTGATATTGAAGAGACTTTTAAGAGGCTTGTGACTGAGCTTAAGAAGAGTCCTCAAGAAGTTTTTGATGCTTTGAAGAATCAGACTGTGGATTTGGTCTTGACTGCTCATCCTACACAGTCGGTTCGTCGATCTTTGCTTCAAAAGCATGGAAGGTTTGTACTATTTATGGAATTGTGGCTTTTTATGAAATAAGGATTAGTAATCGTCGTCTTCACGTGCAGGATAAGGAATAATTTAACACAGTTATATGCTAAAGATATAACACCAGATGATAAGCAAGAACTTGATGAGGCTTTACAAAGAGAGGTGCATGATTGATTCCTTATTCAATATATCTGATATTACTCACCTATTTGGTAATTAGATGAATCTCTGAGTTGATTTTGATTGATGTATAGTTTTTAGTGAGTTTAGATATTGAACAAATGATTAATTTGTTATTTGACAGAAGTATTTTATGTGCTTAGGTTTAATTAATCTGATTATAGTGTTACATATAGTTTGTGTTGAGTAATGTGGTTAGAATTATAGATGAGTTTTCTTGCAGTAAATATATAGCTTTAACGATGTTTGGTCGTACACAGATTCAAGCTGCATTTCGTACTGATGAAATTCGAAGGACTCCTCCTACACCGCAAGATGAGATGAGGGCGGGAATGAGCTACTTTCATGAGACAATTTGGAAAGGAGTTCCAAAGTTTTTGCGTCGGGTTGACACAGCTCTGAAGAACATTGGAGTAAACGAGCGTGTCCCGTATAATGCTCCTGTTATCCAATTCTCTTCTTGGATGGGTGGAGATCGTGATGGTATACTTATCTTTCCAAAGAAGTTAACTAAGGAACATAACATTTTTTTTCCAATGAAACAAGGCTTATGATGTAGTTATAGTTTGTGTCTTACAATATGTCTAATGTGTATAACAGGAAATCCAAGGGTAACCCCTGAAGTTACAAGGGACGTGTGTTTGCTGGCTCGAATGATGGCTGCTAATTTGTACTTCTCTCAAATAGAGGATCTCATGTTTGAGGTAATCGAAGTCTGTACCGTGATAATAAATTCTCATTAAGCATTAAGTATATTGTTCTTAAGCACCTGCTTGTCTGATTTTGCAGTTGTCTATGTGGCGTTGCAATGACGAGCTCCGTGTTAGGGCTGATGAGCTTCATAGATCCTCAAAAAGAGATGCAAAACATTATATTGGTATGTATCATTATGCTCCAAATAACGCATGTTTAACATCATTATCGGAATTTCTATTACTGATCAAAGTTTCAGATCAGCACTGATGGACTATTTGTAACATATTTTGAAATTTTGCAGAATTTTGGAAACAGGTTCCTCCGAACGAGCCATATCGTGTTATTCTCGGAGATGTGAGGGACAAACTGTATAATACACGTGAGCGTGCTCGCCAGTTATTAGCTAATGGAAACTCTGACATCCCTGAAGAGACAACCTTCACAAATGTTGAGCAGGTACTTTCCTCACAACTGTCCTATACACTGTTAAAAGATAAACGGTAATGGAATCGTTGCACCTGATTCGTGACATTATTTAACTTCCAAATTTTTGTTTTCTCTTGTAGTTTCTGGAGCCTCTTGAACTGTGTTATAGGTCACTCTGTGCAAGTGGTGACCGAGCGATTGCAGATGGAAGCCTACTCGATTTCTTGCGGCAAGTTTCTACATTTGGACTTTCACTGGTAAGACTCGACATCCGTCAAGAGTCAGACAGGCACACTGACGTGATGGACGCTATTACAAAACACTTGGAGATTGGATCTTACCGAGAATGGTCAGAGGAACGTAGGCAGGAATGGCTCTTGTCTGAGCTTAGTGGAAAGCGCCCTCTCTTTGGCCATGATCTTCCTAAGACAGAAGAAATTGCCGATGTTTTAGAAACTTTCCGTGTTATTTCAGAACTCCCCTCTGACAACTTTGGTGCCTATATCATCTCGATGGCAACGTCCCCATCCGATGTTCTTGCTGTCGAGCTTTTACAACGCGAATGTCACGTGAAGCAGCCGTTAAGAGTTGTCCCATTGTTTGAAAAGCTCGCTGATCTTGAGTCTGCTCCTGCTGCAGTAGCACGACTTTTCTCTATAGATTGGTACAGAAACCGAATCAATGGGAAGCAAGAAGTTATGATAGGATACTCAGACTCAGGAAAAGATGCTGGCCGTCTTTCTGCGGCTTGGGCACTATACAAGGCTCAAGAGGAACTCATAAATGTAGCGAAGGAGTTTGGTGTTAAGCTCACAATGTTCCATGGCAGAGGAGGGACAGTTGGAAGAGGAGGAGGTCCTACTCATCTTGCTATATTATCTCAGCCACCGGATACTATTCATGGGTCATTTCGTGTAACAGTTCAAGGTGAAGTTATTGAACAATCGTTCGGAGAAGAGCACTTGTGCTTTAGAACACTTCAGCGTTTCACTGCAGCTACCCTGGAGCATGGAATGCATCCTCCTGTGTCACCAAAACCAGAATGGCGTGCCCTTTTGGATGAGATGGCTGTCATTGCAACAAAGGAGTATCGCTCAATTGTTTTCCAAGAACCTCGCTTTGTTGAATACTTCCGATGTGTAAGTTGCACTTACTCTCTCATTCTTCAATTATAATATACTTTGGGAATCATAAAACTAATTTATTTTTGCTTATACTTTGAGTCATAAAACTAATGAAAATACTTACGAAATCGCAGGCAACACCTGAGTTGGAATACGGACGAATGAACATTGGCAGTCGTCCATCTAAACGAAAGCCGAGTGGAGGAATTGAATCACTCCGAGCTATTCCTTGGATTTTCGCCTGGACACAAACAAGGTTCCATTTACCAGTGTGGCTTGGCTTTGGAGAAGCATTCAAACATGCAATTGAGAAAGATCCAAAGAATCTCCAAATGCTTCAAGATATGTACAACCAATGGCCGTTCTTCCGGGTTACCATTGACTTGGTTGAGATGGTTTTTGCCAAAGGAGACCCTGGGATTGCCGCTTTATACGACAAACTCTTAGTTTCACAAGAGCTGTGTCCATTTGGCGAGCGTTTAAGATCAAAGTATGAAGAAACCAAGAGATTTCTCCTCAAGGTTGCTGGGCACAAAGATATTCTTGAAGGAGACCCTTACTTAAAGCAAAGATTAAGACTTAGAGACTCATATATCACAACTCTTAATGTCTTGCAAGCATACACATTGAAGCAAATTCGTGATCCAGATTACCATGTGAAGTTAAGGCCTCATTTGTCAAAGGAGTACATGGAATCAAGCAAACCAGCAGCAGAACTTGTTAAACTTAATCCGAAGAGTGAGTATGCTCCTGGTCTTGAGGATACCCTTATTTTGACAATGAAGGGTATAGCTGCTGGCATGCAAAACACTGGTTAATTAAGCTCTATATTATGAGTATTTGTATAACTGCATCAAATAACTGCACTACTCTATTAATATTATTCAATAAAGAATTTGGTTTTGGACAAGGTGTTTCTATAAGTAGTAAGCATTTATTCTATAAATGTTTCGTTAAACTTTTTAGTTGAAGTCATACTTGATTCATTTGATTATATCCAAATTTTAAAATTGACACTTACTATTTGGCAAACAAGGACATGGTAGAGCAGACTCAAAGACACTGCGCATTTTTAAAAATAGAATATTTATGTCTGTAAAAGTCTGGAAAAAAAAGGGTACGGACATACTCAATAGGCCGGTTCTGGTTTGATACTCCTAATATTTTTGTCTTATCATTCAAGAAAAGTATTAATTAATTTTTAAAAATTTTCAAAAATATTTATGTATCTGTTACTCGTCTTGTTACCAACTTTTGTCAAAATTACCAACATGTTCTTATCTTTTTTATGTCATGTCCTTATTGGATATGTATTTGGTCATCTTTTATTGGACTTAGGACGGTTCAGATTAGATAAAATCTGATATAATCCTTTCTTTAACCATCTCTATTTCAAAGTACACACTCTTTATCCTTTAAACTCATAGAATGATTCCTATAAATTTTCGGAATTTGCAATTTTTTCTCTAAATTTTTCAAAACTTGCACATTTATCCGTATTTTCTTTTATATTTCACAAATTGATCTCTCAACACTTTGAATTTTTGAAAACTTTGAAAATTTTTCATCTTATATTTATACTTCAATTTTTTTCAAAATTTTAAGACTTATAATACTAGTTTATAAAATTTTATAATTAAGAAAATTTATTATACTGTTCTAAAAAAAATATAAAAATGAAAATTCAGTTGAAGTAGTATGACATAGAATTCTATCTTTTATGTTTTTTATTTTTATTTTCCGTTAACATAAAAGAATATAAATTCAATATTCTTTTGATGTTTTATATATGGTTAGAAACTCAAAATAAATATAATTTTAAAAAATAAAAGGTTTTTTGGTTCCATACCTAAGTGTTGGAGTTTATGTTTATTTTTGTTCTTTTAACTTAAAAAAAGATTTATATTGGTCTCTTAACTTTTTAAAACATATAATATTAATTCTTTTTGTCTAATTACGATTAAAAAGTTACAAATATAGTCGTTAAGTTCGTCATTAATTAAACAAAAAAATTAACATAGTATAATTTAAAGAGTTACGAAATCAATATGAAATTTTTTAAGTTAAGAGATCAAAATAAAATTTAAAATTAAGGTACAAGATCAAAAAGACTAAAAAAAAAATATTAAACCACGAAATGCTTTTGAAAGTATACAAAGTCTATTTTTTAATAGAGTTCAAACACACTCTAAAGAAAATATAAATATAATACTAGCAAGAGAAGCTAATGGCAAGAAAATATTGAAGAGGTCACTTATCACTCAAATGTGTTCTACCGATGGAACTAAGGAGCAAACTAAAATGGATATAACAAAGATCTTAGTTAAAACAAAATGTTCTAGGGTCCTTGATAAAACTATTAATGTTAAGATCAATGGGAAGGTCTTAAGGCTCAAGGTATTAGAGGACTCGCATGTCGCCTTAGGATTAACATGCCTTCGGGTGCTATCTCAACTTTGGCGTCATCAGAATTTGATATAAAGATTAACTCCGATGCTTGGTACAAGGAAGAAAAAGAAGAAGATCACACATATTTTGAAAATTAAGATTTAGATGAGGCTACATACATTAGGGTCGACACGTCAGTTTTGGAGAATGTCAAAAATCTAGAAAACATTTAGTCATTTTTTTCTAAAAAAAGTTGATGGAAAAGGCGGACCAGTGGACAATTTGATGGACGAAGAGTTAGCGTGTGATAAGATATATGCAAACAAAGAGAAGTCAGCCTTGAAAACTAATGGTCTCTTAAAATTGTTTAGTATAACAAGTGTGAGTAGGAGAACTCATACACATATCACCTTAAGGTTTTGGGTGAATATGTGGTGTGTCTCTCACAAAGGTGTTGCTCAAGAAAAGGAGTTCCGCAATGTTTAATGCTCCTTAGTTGAAAAATCTCCCCCAACAGTGGTATCATGAGCCTTTGGTTCGAGTGAAATACCGACTCACTTGTATCGAAAGTATCCCCATAAGCGGTGGATTGAGTGTCCCGTTGAAGAGTATCAACGACAATACAAGTGTATATGAATGAATCTTCCGCTTAAGGGGGAGCATTATGAAAACATTGTGGAAGACTCACACTTGAGGGGAAGTGTTAAGTATAACAAGTGTGAGTGAGAATATCCATACACCTATCAATTTAAGATTTTGGGTGAGTGCGGTATCTCTCTCACAAAGGTGTTGCTTTAAAAAAGAAGTTTTACAATGTTCAATGCTCCTTAGTGAAAAACTTCCCCAATAAAAATTTGTGCCTAGTAAATGTATGTAAAAAAGTAAGTGCAATGTGGTACAAGATTCACCCCAATCTTAGAGAAATCTAGAAGCGTGACAAGTATACAAATACAAGTTGGTTCAAGTAGGCTAAGAGTAGACGAGGTCCACTTAAATGTAATGAGTGCTCAATCCTTTAATGTTGGGCCAATAAATCCTGATGATCCAAATTCTGTAAGGGTACAAAGTGTTAAAACCCATAAGGTTCGGTGCCTTTGAAATTTCAAGTCTTTGTTTTCTTCTTGGTTTTTTTCTATGTTAAATAGTAAGACAACTGATATGGATAATTAGTTTGAAAACTTTTGGACATGAGACTTAACTTTGAACAAATAAGAGCTCAATGAATATGAAAGGAAATAACTGGAAGGAATGTTAGACATTCTGCAATTGATTAACCCAAACCTTGTTCTTGAAGATAATTATGTCTGGTGGAAGAATGCACACAATTTTACTGTCCAAAATAATATCCGAGACTATATGAGTTACACAACTAAAGAAGTCGGGTTAATCATGTCATTCTGAAAGGTTACTTTATAGAGACCAAAAGTCCCAAAATAATCCATTTTTTCGGATGGAGACTTATTTTGAATAGATTTCCAACACGACTTGATCTTGCAAGGCGAGAAATTCTTAATGGTACTTATAATCTAGTATACCATTTATGTTTTTTAGCTGAAGAAAATGTGATCCATCTGATTATTATCTGTCCAGTTATTTTATAGTTTAGGAGGAAGTTGAGCGTTTGGTTAGGCATAAAAGTGATAAAAGATAAAGCATCTTTAGTTGGCCATCAAAATTTTTTTTTACAAGTTGTTTAACAAAAAAGTCAGGGCAGATAGAAATTGTTTATTTTGGATTGCAGTTTGTTGAGTTATTTAGACGATTAGGAATAATATTGTATTCAAAGGATGTTTTGTGAGAGTGTTGTACTTTGTTAAACATATCAAATGTCTAACTTGGGAGTGGTTTATTGCTAATGTTAAAGAACAAACAAATTTTCATCAAAAGAATTGGCATATCAGTTCGTGTTTATGTTTATCTTAACGATGTTTTGATTCTTCTTATTAGTCTGTCTCATTTGTAATTTGGATTGAGTACCCCTTTTATTCTTGTTCAATACAATTCTAATTGCTTATAAAAAAACTTACCTAAAGCTTTTTCGTGTAAAATATCTAGGTTTAACATGAGATTGATCTAAGTTTAATATAAGTGTTCTTATAAGGATCTCATTTAAATCTAAAACAATATATTTAATTTGATGTCCTTCACGACATGAATTTTGACCAAACAAACATAGTCAAAATATAAACATTCTTTTACCCATTTGTCTTTATTATTGTGAGTCAGAGTTCCATGAAAAATAAATTTACATTCATGGTGTATTTTGGAAGAAAAAAATATCTTATTATTATTTTTATGAACTAAATATATTATATTATATGATCATTTAAGTTGGATGTTTGTAATAAATTATGTCTACAATATTCTTATAATAAGTTAGTTTTATTAGTTTATGAAAATGTACGTCGTTAACATTTAAAACAAAATTTATTACAAAAATAATAATAGAAGTGATCGTTGTTTATATTATGTGGTTAGGGAAATATGTTTAATCATCTTAAATGTAAATCCAACAAACCCTAAAACATATCTAAGTGAAAAAGATTTTGTATTAAGGCATCATCAATTTATTATCAAACTTAAAAAATATTAACTAAATTTTTTGAAGAAGTGTCATATTTTATTTTTTGGTATATAGACAAAATAACAAGAATTATGAAAAGTTCATACGTGATAATTATGGCAGTTCAAAACTTCAAATTCAAACTCGAGACAAAATATTTGGTTTAATAATATCAAAAATAGAAAAAAAGATATATTAATAACAATTTTTAATTATCCTTTACGAAAATAGAATTTTGCTTTTTAAAATTATAATGTTACATTTACTATCATATAAAATGTATTATAAAATATATATACACAACTAAAAAATATAAAAATTATAGTTTATTTATATTTTTATAGTATAATTAATTTTTAAATTGTCAATCAATCACAATTATTAATTCATTAAAAATATTTTATTTTAGTTACCTTTCCATTCAAAGCTACACAAATGATAATTTATGATTAATTAACAATATGAAAAATTTTATAATATCAATGTGTTAAAATTTATCTTAATATTATTTAAATATTGAATTACAACTACAACATAACTATAAATGATAAATAGTGTATCTAATTATGGTAGGAGCGAATAATAAATTTGATCTTTGAAAAAAAAAAAGAATAAAATCAACTTTGGTGTTTAAAAAAATATAAACATGTTTTGTACCTGAGAAAGAAAAACTGAGACAACTTAATTCCTACTTAAATCATTATAAAGGGAACAGCTTGCCTCTAACATTCATCCCTACTTTTGTTTTGTTTTTTTTGTTTTTGACAGAACATTAATCACTACTTAAATCATTAGAAAGGAATTTTTTTGCATCTATCAGTAATTTAAAAAAGAACAATTTGGTCAATAATTAAAATGGAACAATTT